AGAGACAGAGCATGAATGGGGGAGGGTCAGAGAGAGAGGGAAACACAGAATCGGAAGCAGGCTCCAGGCTCCGAGCTGTCAGCACAGAGCCCGATGCGGGGCTCGAACTCACGGACAGTGAGATCATGACCTGAGCTGAAGTCGGACGCTTAACCGACTGAGCCATCCAGGCACCCCTGAATAAACTTTTTAAAAATGGCTGTACCATTTTGTATTCGCACAGCAACGAATAAAAGTTCCTATTGTGTACTACATCCTCTTCAGTATTTAGTATTGTCAATTTTTAAATATTTTAGCCATTCTAATAAATTTGTAGTGTATCTTACTGTTGTTTTAATTTTCAATTCCTTAGTGACACATAATGTTGAGAATCTTTTCATTTGCTTACTTGCCATCTACATATCTTCTTCTTTTTTTTAATATGAATTTATTGTCAAATTTGTTTCCATACAACACCCAGTGCTCATCCCAACAGGTGCCCTCCTCAGTGCCCATCACCCACTTCCCCCTCCCTCCCACCCCCCATCAACCCTCAGTTTATTCTCAGTTTTTAAGAGTCTCTTATGGTTTGGATCCCTCCCTCTCTAACTTTTTTTTTCCTTCCCCTCCCCCATGGTCTTCTATGTTAAGTTTCTCAGGATCCACGTAAGAGTGAAAACATATGGTATCTGTCTCTGTATGACTCATTTCACTTAGCATAACACTCTCCAGTTCCATCCATCTTCCTACAAAAAGCCATATTTCATTCTTTCACATTGCCACATAGTATTCCATTGTGTATATAAACCACAATTTCTTTATCCATTCATCAGTTGATGGACATTTAGGCTCTTTCCGTAATTTGGCTATTGTTGAAAGTGCTGCTATAAACATTGGGGTACAAGTGCCCCTATGCATCAGCACTCCTGTATCCCTTGGGTAAATTCCTAGCAGTGCTATTGCTGGATCATAGGGTAGATCTATTTTTAATTTTTTGAGGAACCTCCACACTGTTTTCCAAAGTGGCTGCATCAGTTTGCATTCCCACGAACAGTGCAAGAGGGTTCCCATTTCTCCACATCATTGCCAGCATCTATAGTCTCCTGATTTGTTCATTTTAGCCACTCTGACTTGGAATGAGGTGGTATCTCAGTGTGGTTTTGATTTGTGGTTTTGATTTCCCTGATGAAGAGTGACATTGAGCATCTATATATCTTCTTTAGTGACATGTCTATTCCAGCCTTTCACCCACTTTTAAGTCGTTTTCTTATTTTTCAGTTCTAAGAGTTCTTGTATATTTTGGTTTCAAGTTCTTTATCATATATGTATTTTGCATTTATTTTCTTCCAGTCTGGCCTGTCTTTTCATCCTCTTAACAGTTTCTAGGGGTGCCTGGGTGGCTCTGTTGATTAAGGGTCTAACTTCGGCTCCAGTCATGATCTCACAGTTCATGAGTTCAAGCCCCACATCGGGCTGTCAACATGGAGCCCATTTCAGATCCTCTGTCTCCCTCTTTCTGCCCTTTCCCTGCTCATGCTCGCACTCACGCTGTCTCTGTCTCAAAAATAAACATTTAAAAAAAGAGTTTCTAATGTTAATAAAGACTAAACGTCTCTAATGTTAATAAAGTCCAACTCATTAATTTTTCTTTCACAGATCATGTTTTCGGGGTTATAATTAGAGCTTGTTGCAAGGCCACCTGGGTGGCTCAGATGAGCATCTGACTTCAGCTCAGCTTTGATCTCATAGCTCATGAATACAAGCTCCGTGTTGGGCTTTGTGCTGACAGCTCAGAGCCTGGAGCCAGCTTCAGATTCTGTGTGTGTGTGTCTCTCTCTCTGCCCCAACCCACTCGCATTCTGTCTCTGTCTCTCTCAAAAATAAATAAAAAGTAAAAAAAAAGAAAAGAAAAAAAAATTAGAACCTGTTACCAAGCCCAGGGTTACATGAGATTTCTTCTATGTTACTTTCTAGTAGCTTTATAGTTTTTATATATATATATAGGTTTATAACTCATTTTGAGTTACTTCCCGTGAAAGATGTACTGTCTGTTACTAGATTCAGTTTTTTTGCATGTCACTATCCAGTTCTTCCAGTTCTATTTGGTGGAAGGACTATCTTTCTCCATTAAGTTGCCTTTGCTACTTTGTCAAAGATTGATTAACTATATTTGTGTGTCTATTTCTGGGCTTTTTATTTTGTTCCATTGGTCTATATGTCTATTTATTTGCTAACATCACAGTCTTGATACTAATGTAAGTCTTAATGTCAGGTAGTGTCAGTTCTCTGACTTTGTTCTTCTTCACTATTGTGTTAGCTATTCTAAATCTTTTGCCTCTCTGTATAACCTTTAGAATCTGTTTGCAATATCCACAAAATAATTTGCTGAGATTTTTATTAGGATTACATTGAGTCTACTAACCAGGCTGGAAAGAATCGACATCTTAAGAATGTTAAGTTTTCCCATCCTTGAAGACGTACTCTCTCTCTGTTTAGAGCCTCTTTGACTTTTTATCAGAATTTTACAATTTTGTATAGATCCTGTACACATTTTGTTAGATTTATACCCAAGTGTATCTTTTTTTTTTCTTTTGATACTAATGTGAATGGTAATTGTGTTTTTCATTTTCAATTTCAGTTGTTCATTTTTGGCATTTAGGAAAGCAGGTGACTTTTGTATATTTACTTTGTATCATGCAACCCTACTATAGTCACTTATTAGTTCCAGGAGGTGTTTCTTTCATTCTTTGGGATTTTCTACCAAGACAGTCATGTATCCTGTGAACAAACAGTTTTATTTCTTCCTTCCTAGTCTGTATACTTTTAATGTAATATACACATATTTTGGGATTTCCCAGCTATCTTTCTGTTACTGAATTCTAGTTTAATTCCGCTGTGGTCTGAGACCATATTTAGTATGATTTCTGTTCTTTTAAATTTGCTAAGTTATGTTTTTGGACCAGAATGAGGTCTGTCTTACTGAATGTTGTATAAGTTTGAGAAGAATGTATATTCTTGCTGTTATTAAGTGAAGTATTTTATAAATGTCTTTTAACTGCAGTTATTTAATGATGCTGTTCAAGTCTACTGTATTTGCTTCTTTTATAGGAGCTGCACCATTTTGCATTCCTACCAGTAGCGCACAAGGGTTCCAGTTTTTCCATATCCCAGCAATACTTGTCATTTTCTTTTCTTTTTTTTTTTTTTTTTTTTTTTTCCTTTTTGGTAATAACCTCCTAATGGGTATGAAGTGGTATCGTGTTGTGGTTTTGACTTGCATTTCCCTAATAATTAGTGATGTGGAGCATCTTTTAATGTGACTATTAGCCGTTTGTACATCTTCAAAGACATTGTGTATTTAGAGCCTCACACAGTACTAGCATGTATTAGGTGCACATTAAATATTTGTTGAGTGAATGAATAAACCTTTTTGGAGAGCAATTTATCAGTATCTACAAAAATGTTAAATATATATACCTCTGACCCAATTCTATTTGTAGAAATGTATCCTGAAGCTGTAGTTACATAACCAAACAAAAATAAATGTACAGGGATATTATTTGTGTAGCTTTGTTTGAAATAATGAGAACCTGGAACAAGCTATAAACATATCTGTGTATGACTGATTAGATTCTTTATGACATTTAAAAACAGACTGTTGTTGGGGCGCCTGGGTGGCGCAGTCGGTTAAGCGTCCGACTTCAGCCAGGTCACGATCTCGCGGTCCGTGAGTTCTAGCCCCGCGTCGGGCTCTGGGCTGATGGCTCAGAGCCTGGAGCCTGTTTCCGATTCTGTGTCTCCCTCTCTCTCTGCCCCTCCCCCATTCATGCTCTGTCTCTCTCTGTCCCAAAAATAAATAAACGTTGGAAAAAAAAAAAAAAAACAGACTGTTGTTATTACAAATAATAGCAATTTATATATTAAGATTCAGAATATACTACATTATTAAATGAAAATGCCAGTTTGCAAAGTAGAATGCAGGTTTACTTTTAAAATTTATTTATTTATTCATTCATTCATTCATTCATTCATTCATTCATTCCATGTGTGGGGCACCTGAGTGGCTCAGTTGCTTAAGCATCTGGCCCTTGATTTCGGCTCTGGTCATGATCTCACGGTTGGTGATTTCAAGCCTTGCATCGGGATCTGTGCTGACAGCTCAGGGCCCTCTTTGGATTCTCTCTCCTTCTCTGTCTCTGCCCTGCTCTCTTTCTCTCTCTCTCTCAAAATAAACATTGAAAAGAAACGTTTTCTATGTGTTTTATAAAAAAGAAGGTATGTATACTGAACTCTTTATGGTTGTCATAATGGCAAAGAGAAGGAAAGTTATAGGGACCTTTTATTCTTTACATTGTAAAGACTTTTTATTTTATTTTTTAAATGTTTATTTATTTTGAGAGAAGGAGCATACGTGGGAGAGTTGGGGGGGGGGCAGGTACAAAAAGAGAGACAGAGAGAATCCTAAGTGGGCTCTGGCAGCACAGAGCCTGACTCAAGGCTTGAACTCATGAACCGTGAGATCATAACCTGAGCCAAGACCAAGAGTCATACACTTAATTAACCAACTAAGCCACCAAGGTGCCCCATACACTGTAAAGACTAATTTTAAGTTAAAAGTTGCAAAATAAGATTGAATGCTATAACTATACTATGAGTATAACTGCATTAAAATAATATAAATGAGAAAATCACTGGAAGAAAGTACAATAAAATGCTAACAAGGGATTATGTGTGATATTTTTCTTTCTGGATTTTCAGTTATTATGGTTATATTATTTTTATGATGACAAAAATATACTTGCTTACATAAAGAAGAAAACAAATGGGAAAATTATCACTAAATATTTAAGCTAATCTTCAAGGCAGTATACTTTAAATTATAACAGCATTGTTTTAGTATTGTTATAATTTTTAGAGTCCTGTAATCCAGTGATGTATTTCAAGGGGGGAAATATAGTAGCTTAGTTTTCAGTGAAGCTTGACCTTTTTTCTAACTGGAGGTATTTGTATTTGTTCCATAGCGGAAGTGAAACGTGTAGGAGATACACTTTTGGGTATGGCTACGCAGTGTGTCCAAGTCAAGAATGTAATAAAAACATCCCCTCAAACTCTCTCAAACTTGTGCCTAAAGATAAATGTTAAACTCGGAGGGATCAATAATATTCTTGTACCTCATCAAAGGTAAGATAAGCTAATCACTTAATTAAATGTTAATTACTTTTCATCTTAATTTTTCTATATATCACTATATCTAAAATCAGTGTAAGAGACATTTTTGATGATTCCTGCCATGGGAGATAAATAGACATTTTAGCAAAAAAATTTAAGGCAAGATTAAGAGATTCCCTTGTGAAAAATCCCCTTTCAACTCCATTTTTATTTAGTATATACAAATAACCTCTTTCCCAGCTAGAAAGTATTTGAGAACTTTACGTATTTCTCACTGGAGAGCTCAACTTGAAGAATTTTCTCGTTATTTGATAGTCCTCTTTAATCTGGGGAAGGGAAGAATGGAGGGTCTTGGGTGGGGCATGTCAGTTAAGTGAATCATTTAAGTGAGCCTTGTCAACCTCTGCTACCTTCAGTGGGACAACAGATGTTACTGTCAAATTGTTATCATGTCTAAGAGCTCTTAGGAAGAATGACATAATGACCTAGAAACAGGTGCTGGGCAAGAGACTGAGAATTGAACAACAGGTTTCCTTTTAATAGTTGAAGCAACTGAGGCTTTAAAAAAATATCTTGACTAGAATGCACCACAGATAAGCATTAGAATAAGGATAGACCCATGTGTGTTTGGCACAAAAGCCCTTTTTGTTTTCTGTTTTTCCATGCTGTCTGTTAAATAGATGAGAATCATAAATGAGATGGGTATAGAATTCTATCAAGTCCACCAACTAAGAGACAATCATTTGAATCTTAAAGGATATAATTGTTGGTTTTCTTTAATGTTTATCTTTTTTGAGAGAGAACACAAGCTGGAGAGAGAGGGAGAATTCCAAGCAGGCTCTGCACTGTCAGCACAGAGCATTATGAGGGGCTCTGTCTCATGAACCATGAGATCATGACCTGAGCCGAGATAAGGAATTAGATGCTTAACTGACTGAGCCACCCAGGCACCCCATAAAGGATATCGTTTTTTAAATAAAATGACTGACCAACTACTTTATGACTGTTAAGTATTTATACTTTTGGCCACAGGAAGGGGAGTAGTAGATTCCTGTAATCCTTTTCAGTGAAAAGGTTAATGATTCTTTTTCTCCTTGAGAGATTACATAGTTTAAATGTAAATAGATTATAGAAAGATTGATACAAACTGGGATTAATATGAGGCAGTTTATCATTTTATGCCTCTTATGAAAAATGCCTGCCCTTTGCAATCACCAGCACCAATACTTAAGGCAGAAAATTGCTCTGAATAGGACATTGGATAGACCTATTGTGATAGCTCTACTTCATTGAGTTAGGGATTTATGAATGAAGAGAATAAAACAGTAATTCAGGCCTTTGAAGCTGTCTGTGTAAAACCTCCTCTGTGCTGTGTCAGCAACTTGTATTTGTGTGGCAGTAGTATGAACAGATAAATGCATTATGAAAAAATGAATTATCTAACTCTTTTAAAAAATGTGTTTAAGACCTTCTGTGTTCCAGCAACCCGTGATCTTTTTGGGAGCAGATGTCACTCATCCACCAGCTGGTGATGGGAAGAAGCCTTCTATTGCTGCTGTGAGTGTCATTAGGTTTATCTTGTCTAAAGTTTAGAGGATCAACATTTTGGTTTCAGCTTTTTGAATTTTAATGACATTTTTTCTTTGAAACCAATTTTTATAAATATATATATATCTAGAACCAATTTTCAAATAGTCTTTGGATTTTTTTAAAAGGATGATCATTCCCTTGGGGCACCTGGGTAGCACAGTTAATCTTCTGACTTCGGCTCAGGTCATGATCTTGCAGTTTGTGAGTTTGAGCCTCACATTGGGCTCTGCCAACAGCTCAGAGCCTGGAGCCTGCTTCAAATTCTGTGTCTCCCTCTCTCTGCCCTTCCCCTGCTTACTCTCTGCCTCTCTCTCAAAAAATGAATAAACATTTTAAAATTTAAAAAAAAAAGGTTATTCTCTGGTTTGGGGGCTACAAGTTACATATATTTATTAAATCAAGCTTATTAGTTGTATTATTCAAGTCTTTTGTTTCCTACTTTAATTTACCTATTTGACCTCTCTATTGATTATATATTTTCAGTTAGTTTTTATTTAAAGAGTTTATGTATTTCAGTAGTGTCTTTACATTTTTTCAATGTAAAATTCTTCTACCTTTGTCCAGTCTAATACTTTGCACCTGAATTCTTTGTTTTAATACTACCGTTCCTACTTTTAACATTTTCCTTTTTTTTTTAATGTTTATTTATTTTTGAGAGCGCACCAGAAGGGGAGGGACATAAAGAGAGGGAGACACAGAATCTGAAGCAGGCTCCAGGGTCTGAGTGGTCAGCACAGAACCCAACATGGGGCTCGAACTCACGGACCACAAGATCGTGACCTGAGCTGAAGTCGGTCGCTTAACTGACTGAACCACCCAGACACCCAACATTTGCCTTTTATGTCTCTGCCCACCTCTATGTTTGTAAAGTTTCGTCAGTTCTTTTAAGTGTAGTTCTTATAAACTTCAGAAAGCCAGATAATATTTTTACCCACCTTGAAATTCCTTGATTTTTAACAAATACCAACATTTTGAAAATGTCAACATATTTTATCCATACTTGATAAATTTCACAAATTAAACTGTAAAATGTTTTACACATGTTTTCTGTTACCTTTGTAATAAACTTTACATAAATCTTAAGTTACAACAACCTGGTACATTTTATTTGTCCATGTAAATGATAGTAATGTTAAAATTCTTAAGATTCCAAAGCTATTTTTATTAGTGAAGGAAATTTGCTTTTATCTGTTAGTAAATTTTATTGCTTTTTATTCTTATAGTTACACATGAATTGCCATTTTACATGTCCTAGAGGTAGTATTGAGCCACTTCCGATATTCATAAAAATGCTCTTATAGAAGATGAAATTATTTTTTCAAAAAAAATTCAAAAGACTTACTTTGAATTTGCTATCTTGGGGTCATTTCCGAGAAAATTTAAGCCTAGCTTAAATTTTGGACTTCTGGGTAGTCATTGTCCTTTTCTACTAAATCCATTTCTGCCAAATATCCATTTTCTTTTATTATTATCAGAGGTCTTGTAAATAGAATCTATTAATTAATTATTTTTGCTATATGGCTTCTATTCCCAAGAACTTTTAAAGACCAGTGTGAAAAACAAATGTAAGTAATAAATGCCACATAGTATAATAGATACTACTTTAATAGCAATATAAATTAAAATTTAGATCACAAAAACCTGGTGTGTTGAGAACGTTGAGCAATGTAGGAAATTGGAATGCAGTATAGCAGATGTGAGGCTAGTAAGCTTTTGTGTGGCTTTTTGTGCCATACACAAAGGGGTATAGATTTACTTGTTAGTAATGAGATACCATTAAGAGGAACGAAATGGCTAGAGTTCTTTTTTTTTTTTAACCTATAGATGATAAAGTAGATAAAATCCTGTGTACATAGTAGACAAGTTCTAGTTCATTTCTTTAAAAACTCTTGATTATTTTCTAGTCTGACCTAACACAGAAGAGAAACATAAGAATTTTCCATATTTTGGTTTCAAGTAATAAGGCATTAAATTACTGACAGGAAGTTAGGTGCTCTTTTGAAGTACTATTTTTTATTATTTTTAATTGAAGTATAATTGACCCATAATTGCAACGTAATGATTTGATATATGTATATATTGTAAAAAGATGTATACAGTAAGTCTAATTAACATCTGTCACCATACATAGTTACACATTTTTTTCTTGTAATGAGAACTTTTCAGATTTACTCTCTTAACAACTTTCAAATCTTCAGTACAGTGTTATTAATGATAGTCATCATCATACTGCATGCTATACAGTACCTCTCAATGACAGAATTTATTTTATAACTAGAAATTTGTATCTTTGAACCCCCTTCCCCATTTCATCCATCACCCACCCCCTGCCTCCGGCAACTAACAATCCAGTCACTTCATCTATGAGCTTGGTTGCTTTTGTTTTATTTTGTTATGTTTTGCTTTACTCCACATAGAAGTGAGATCATGTGGTATTTGTCTTTCTCTCTCTGACTTTTTTGACTTGTATAATGCCTTCAAAGTCCACCCATATTTGCACAAATGGCAAGATTTCATCCTTATTTATTTATGGCTGAGTAATATAATATTCCATTGTTTATATATGCTACATTTTTTAATGCTTTCATCCATTGATGGACACTTACGTTGTTTCCACATCTTGACTACATGTACAGTGAACATGGGGTTACAGAGTTCCATTTTTGAAATATGGCTTTGATATAGATCCTACACTGGAAGAAAGAGAAGCTGGAGGCAGAGTGACCAGCTGATTCTCAGACTCAGCTCTGATTAGAATGATGTGTAGACATTTAAAAAATATTTGGGTTCCAGGGGCACCTGGGTGGCTCAGTCAGTTAAGCGTCTGACTCTTGATTTTGGCTTAGGTCATGATCTCATGATTCACGGGTTTGAGCCCTGCGCTAGCAGCACGGAGCCTGCTTATAATTCTCTCTCTTTCTTTCTCTCTCTCTCTCTCCCTCTTCCCCCCCGCCCCTCCCCCGCTCATGCATGCTTTCTCTCAAAATAAACTTTTTTTTAAAAATATTTGAGTTCCAGAGATTATGCTTCAGTAGGTCTGTGAGTAAAAGATATAAAGAAAAATGAAGCGTTTGAATGGGTCTTCTTTATTACTTACCTCCTTTCTCTTCTTCTAAGAATGTCTTTTTGTCTCTCTTTCCTTACTAATCTTTATATATACCAACAACATCTATAAGTTAGAATCTTGTTAAATGTAAAGTGCAGGGGTGCATGGTTGGCTCAGTCAGTAGAGCATGTGCCTCTTTTTTTTCTTTTTTAAATTTATTTATTTATTTTGAGAGAGAGAGTGCATGTGCATGGGCAAATGGGGGAGTGAAAGGGAGGAGGGTAGAGGGAGAGAATCCCAAGCAGGCTCCACACTGTCAGTGAGGAGCCGGATGTGGGGCTCAAACTCATGAACTGCAAGATCATGACCTGAGCCAAAGTTGGACACTTAACTGACTGAGCCACCCAGGGCCCCTGAGCATGCTAATCTTGATCTCAGTGTCGTGAGTTTGAGCCCTGCTTTGGGTGTAGAGTTTAAAACTAAAAACAGGGGCGCCTGGGTGGCTCAGTCAGTTGAGCGACCGACTTCAGCTCGGGTCATGATCTCATGGTTTGTGAGTTCAAGCCCCGCATCGGGCTCTGTGCTGACAGCTCAGAGCCTGGAGCCTGCTTCGGATTCTGTGTCTCCCTCCCTTCTGCCCCACCCCCATCCCCGACACTCTGTCTCTCTCTCCTTCAAAAATAAACAAACATTAAAAAAATTTTAATAAATAAACTAAAACCATATTTTTTTAATTTTTTTAATATTTTATTTATTCTTCAGACAGAGACAGAGACAGAGCATGAGTGAGGGAGGGGCAGAACAAGAGAGGGACACAGAATCTGAAACAGACTCCAGTTTCTGAGCTGTCAGCACACAGCGTGATATGGAGCTCAAACTCATGAATCTTGAGATCATGACCCTAGCCGAAGTTGGACGCTCAACCAACTGAGCGCCCTGATTTTTTTTTAAATGTAAAGTTCAACCTACTCATAGGAAAATAGTTTTGTTTTTGAAGATTTTATTTTTAAGTAATCTCTGTACCCAATGTGGGGTTCAAACTCACAACCTTGAGATCAGGAGTCATATACATTCTACCAACTGAGCCAGCCAAGTACTCCAGAAAATAGTTTTTGACCCTATACTGGATCTTTTATTCTTTTCTTCACTGGGAATTATCAATTTTTTATTACTTTGAAAATGAACAGTAATAATGTTATATAGTAAACTACAAATTTAAATGAAATCCATGTGCTTATTTTCAGTTTTTTTTATTGTAAAACTCATAATCATGGAGCTTTGATTGTCTTAATTTCTATTTTTCTTTCCTTTTTCCAACCTAGGTTGTAGGTAGTATGGATGCCCACCCAAGCAGATACTGTGCCACAGTAAGAGTTCAGAGACCCCGACAGGAGATCATCCAGGACTTGGCTTCCATGGTTCGAGAACTTCTCATTCAATTTTATAAGTCAACTCGGTTCAAACCTACTCGTATCATCTTTTATCGGGATGGTGTTTCAGAGGGACAGTTTAGGCAGGTTGGTTGCCTGGGATCTCATCATTCTGTGGTTAAATCAGATACTGGGTTTATAATATGGTATCTAGTTCTAAAGTTAGAAGCCTTAATTAGGTTGAAAATTCTCAAAAGTCAAAATTTGATGGTTCCTTAGATTTTCCCTTCTAAAAAGCTTACTATGGATGTGTAAGCCTTGATTGCTAACATCATTCTCTGATAATAGTTTAAATGGAATAAAGAAGTGTATTTAACTGTAAGGTGATAAGATTAAGAAGTCCTGAAACTAAATTATGATCTTAGTTTGAAGCATATATAAGAGAACAACTGACTATATCAGATGTTTCCATTTCATCTCCTCTAGGTATTATATTATGAACTACTAGCAATTCGAGAAGCCTGCATCAGTTTGGAAAAAGACTATCAACCTGGAATAACCTACATTGTAGTTCAAAAGAGACATCACACTCGATTGTTTTGTGCTGATAGGACAGAAAGGGTAATTTTACATCTGTTGTAATGCTATAATAAGACAAACTTACCTCAGATAGCTCTTAACAGAGCTCATAGAACACTTAACAGAGGCTCTCTGCCAAGCAGAGGTCCCAATATATACTAGCAGATTTCAACTTAGCAGATTATGAGTATAAAAGCATCCAAATAGGTTGTTGCTTTTAATTTTCTAGAATTTCTGTTAACCAAGTTCTATTCTCCAAGTATTCAAAATCCTGTTAATGCTTTTTGTTATTGTGAAGAAATTCTTTGTTTTTTTTTTTAAGGATGGGAGAATCTTTTTTTTTTGGTGTGTGTTATTTTATTTATTTATTTATTTTATTTATTTATTTTTTTTTTTTGAGAGAGAGACCAAGAGACAGCATGAGCTAGGGAGGGGCAGAGAGAGGGGAGACACAGAATCTGAAGCAGACTCCAGGCTCTGAGCTGTTAGCACAGAGCCTGACACAGGGCTTGAACTCATGGACCATGAGATCATGACCTGAGCCAAAATCGGATGCTTAATCAACTGAGCCACCCAGACGCCCCTGGGAGAAGCATTTTTTAAATTTTATTTATTATTACTTTTTTTTGAGAGAGAGAGCAGGAGAGGGGCAGAAAAAGAGGGAGAGAGAGAATCTTAAGCAGGGCTGAATCTCAGTGACCGGAGGTCATGACTTGAGCCAAAATCAAGAGTCAGACTCTTAACTGACTGAGCCACCCAAGTGTCCTGAAGCTCATAGTTTTAAACTTGTTCTTTCTATTCCTATGTGTCTTAAATGTTCAGAGGGAATAAGGTACATTCATTTTTTAAAATAATCTTGTAAGAATTAGTTTTTTTAAAAGCTAGGGACTTGGGGCACCTGGGTGGCTCAGTTGGTTAAGCATCAACTTCGGCTCAGGTCGTGATCTCACAGTTCATGGATTTGAGCCCCACCTCGGGATGGGGCTCTGTGCTGACAGCTCGGAGCCTGGAGCCTGCTTTGAATTCTGTCTCTCCCTCTCTGCCCCTCCCCTGCTTGTGCGTGCTCTAACTAGGTAGGTAGGTAGGTAGGTAGGTAGGTAGGTAGGTAGGTAGGTAGATAGATAGATAGATAGATAGATAGATAGATAGATAGATAGATATTTTTAAAAAAACACCTACGGACTTTCTAGAGTGATTAGTGGAAATTCATGTAAACCAACTTTTAAATAATGCTTCCTTTAAAATTCACAGAAGTTTTTTTGAGATTTTGTTTTTTTAATGTCTATTTTTTTTTAACGTTTATTTATTTTGAGAGAGAGAGAGAGCGTGCACTACTGGGGAGGAGCAGAGAGAGAGAGAGAGAGAGAGAGAGAGAAAATCCCAAGCAGGCTCTGCACTGTCAGCATGGAGCTAGACAGGGGCTTAGTCTCACAAACCAGGAGATCGTGACTTGAGCCAAAACCAAGGGTCAGACACTTAACCGACTGAGCTTCCCAGGCACCCCAGAATGTCTCTCTCTCTTTTTTTTTTTTTTTGTTTTTTTGTTCTTTTGATGTTTATTATTTTTGAGAGAAAGAGACAGCAAGCAGGGAAGGGGCAGAGAGAGAGGGAGACACAGAATCAGAAGCAGGCTTCAGGCTCTGAGCTGTCAGCAAAGAGCCCGATGCGGAGCTGGAACTCAAAGACCGTGGGATCATGACCTGAGCTGTAGTCGGCCACCCAACTGACTGAGCCACCCAGGCGCCCCTCTTTGTTTTTTTTTTAATGTTTATTTATATATTTAGAGAGAGAACACACACCCGTGCAAGCGGTGAAGGAGCGGGGAGAGAGGGAGAGAGAGAATCCCAAGCAGGCTCTGCAGAGCTTAATGCAGGGCTCGATTTCAAGAAGCACAAGATCATGACCTGAGCTGAAATCAAGAATAGGACACTTAATGACTGAACCACTGAGGCACCGCAAGATTTTATTTTTAAGTAATTTCTATACCCAATGTAGGTCTTGAACTCACTACCCCTAGATTAAGAATTTCATGCTCTACCAACTAAGCCAGCCAGGCACCCCCTCACAGAATTCATTTTTATGTTTTGTAGTATGACTATGTATTTTTATAATTAGAAAGAGGAGGAAGTGTAAATACCTAGGGAAATCTGTATTCTTGTCTGCATGAAGCATAGGCAAGTAACAGTCTTGCTGTCATTTCCATTGCTCCATTCCCATCCTTCAAACTGTGGAGCAGAGAAATTTGAGAATTGCAAGTGTTAGTGTCTCCTTGGGGAAAGGGTTCAACAGAAAAGAGTGAGAAGTGTATGCTGGGTTTGGTATATATTTTGTCTTTGGTTACACTCTCCATGTAACTTGGGGCAAGTAACTTAACGTCTCTGTGCCTGTTTCCATCCCAGCAAGGTTTGGGTGATATTAATTTCTTCCTTATTTGGGTTGTTAAAAGGATTAAATAAATAAAAATATGTAATATACCTAAAACAGTGCTTGGCACATACATGCTAAGCACACAATAAAGGTTGGCTAGTTGTAGAGTGGTGGTGTTTGTGGTAATAATAGAGGAAAAGAAAAAAGAAAAATAATAGAGAAAAAGAAATAATCATAGCAAACTAGGTATTTGTTATAGGTATTTGTTATAAATTTAACTCATTTAATCATCACAACACTATGGGGTATTTATTATTATTATCATTTTCCACAGAAGGAAACTGGGGCATATGAGGTTAAAGAACAAGGTTTACAAGCCTAGTTGTTGGTAGAGCTAGGACTCAAATCAGGCACTCTGGCTCCAGAATGCTTATAATCACTGTTAACCTCTCTGATGGCAGTAGTGTTAGTTTTTTATTGTGGCCTCCAGTTGTTAAAGGCCTTTGACCCCAAATTTCTATGTAAATTTTTTTTGTGCCTGAAAAACCAAATGTTTCTTCAGAAGCAAGATTAGGAAAACCTAAGTTAGATTTAATGATTACTAGCATCTGATGTTTAGTCATGTTAGTCCTTCATTTGTCAGCTTCTCTTTCACCTTTGTTCTAAATACTATTACTAATAATAGATGAGAGGTAGTTAAAATACCATGCCCTAGATAGAACAACTAGAAACTGGTGAAGCTGTGATATGAACCCATTCTGCTGTCTCTGTAAGTAAAGTAAACCTTTTTATACGTGTTAATTTGATTTGTGTATTAAGAATAGGCATAATTTAGTTGATTATGAACTGTTTTCTTTGTTTTGTGCTTAGTATGAACTGTTTTCTTTGTTTTGTGCTTAGTGAAGGCTAAGCTACATAGCTATATAGCTACATAGCTATATATAACTCATGCCAGTACCTGATAGTGGTCCCTCGCATGCAGAAAGAATGTCTAAGTCAGTAAAATAGTTTCTAATTTGCTAACCTTATAAACCTAGACTTAGAATTACTGATTTTAAATGTGTTAGAGATACAGAGGTAGAGGTGAGTATACATATGCATTTTGAAGTGTTTTATTAGGAACCTTTTGGGGCGCCTGGGTAGCTCAGTTGGCTGAACGTCCATCTTCAGCTCAGGTCATGATCTTATAGTTTATGGGTTCAAGCCCCATGTCAGGCTCTGTGCTCAGAGTCCGGAGCATGCATCAGAATCTGTCTCTCTCGGCTCCTTGCAAAAATAAATAAATAAACTTTAAAAAATAAGCCTTTCCTTATCAGAAATTTTGAACCATTCCAGTCACATTCACACCATCGCCATCATGGTGTTGGCTTCCTTACAAGATGTTAAAACTGCTAGTATGAAATAAAAGGAATAGGACCTTTGCAATCAGTTCCATATTTCACTACCAGTTCAGCCCTTTATTGTGTGCTGTACAGCAAATTATTTCATATTCCTGAGCCTAGGTTTCCCAAACAGGAGGGAATAACACCTGACTTGCAGGATTATTAGGATTAGAAATAATATACGTTAAGTGCCTGGCACATAGTTAACAAATGGTTACTACTGTTGTATGTTGTCAGCATTCTTGCTCTCTAAAAATACAGTGTTTCCAAGGAAAATGCTAGTTTTCATAAATTACACATTCAAGAGTGCCTGTTTTTCACAGGTACCATAAATTGGAACATGTATAGCAGATTTGTTTTTATTTTTATTTTTATTTCTTTTGGGGGAGGGGGAAAAAAGGGAGAGAATCCCAAGCAGGGTCCACAAGGTCAGTATAGAGCTTGATGGGGCTCGAACTCCCAAACCATGAGATCATGACCAGAGCTGAAACCAAGACTTAGAGACTTACCTGACTGAGCCACCCAGACACCCCTAAAGTAATTTTAAGAAAAATTTTACGTGCTCCACCCATATTAGGATCACCTGCTAGTTAAGCACCAATAGACAACTAGTAACTCTTTGTTGTTTATCAGCTCTCACTTTCAGCACTATGTAAGAATAGGAACCAGGACTAGAATAAGGTTTCCGGTTAATGCCTGCTCAAGTAGTATTTCAAGTTAAAGGTAGTGAAACACAGGATCAGCTGATATATTTATACATTTTTAAAAGTGCTTTTAGATACATTCTTTACCTTTGTCTCGTTTGTTTAAACTTTGGCCGAACAAATCTAGGTTGGAAGAAGTGGCAATATCCCAGCTGGAACAACAGTTGATACAGACATTACACACCCATATGAGTTTGATTTTTACCTCTGTAGCCATGCTGGAATACAGGTAAGCCTACACTTTCAGCAAAATGTTCTAATTCAGGAACTTCCACTCTTATGTGTTGTGTTTTGTTTTGTTTTAATCTTTTTTAACGTTTATTTATTATTGAGAAAGAGAGACAGAGCACGAGCATGGGAAGGGCAGAGAGAGGAGGAGACATAGAATCTGAAGGAGGCTCCAGGCTCTGAGCTGTCAGCACAGAGCCCGACACGGGGCCCGAACTCACAAACCCAGCGAGATCATGACCTGAGCCGAAGTCAGACACTCAACCGACTGACCCACCCAGGCGCCCTGTTATGTGTATTTTTTTAATTGAAAGAAACACTGTTTTCTACACTCTAAATTGTTTCCACATGAAATTAGATGAAACTTTCAGTAAATAAATTTCTTTCCCTTTCTTACCTTGGGGAGAGGGGCTTATTTCTATTAAAATACCAGAATGTAAGTAGTTTAACAGAATAAATCTCCCAAATTAGGTCCTCAATTTAACCTAAAACTTCAAAAATTTTAAAATACTTGATTCTTCCTTTGACATTTGCTTCTTTTTGATAATAATACTTCATAGAGAACTCTGGCATTTACTGGCAGATATTGAGCATGTGAAAGAGTTTATCAATTTGTAGCTTTAAGTTTCATTGAAATAATTTTAGAGTCTTACTCTTTCCGGGGCACCTCGGTGGCTCAGTCATTTAAGTGCCTGACTTCACTCAGGTCATGATCTCACAGTTCATGGGTTCGAGCCCCTTGTCAGACTCTGTGCTGACAGCTTGGAACCTGGAGCCTGCTTTGGATTCTGTGTCTCCCTCTCTCTGCCCCTCACCCACTCACTTTCTGTCTCCCTCTCCCTCTCTCTCTTTCTCTCTCTCTCTCTCAAAAATAAATAAACATTAAAAAAAAAAATTAAAAGAGTCTTACTTTTTTCATAAGATCACATTATTTGTTAGCTTTATTACTTAGTAGAACATAAGCTTTATTTATTTTAAATGAATCCTCTTATTTATTTAGTTAGGTATGTTGAGAGAGAGAGTACAAGCTTGAGTAGGAGAAGGGTAGAGAGTGGGGGAGAGGAAGAGTCCCAAGCTGGCTCCAAGTTGTAAGCATGGAGCCTGATGTGGGGCTTGAACTCACAAACTGTGAGTTCATGACCTGAGCCAAAGTCTGACCCTTAACCAACTAAGCTACCCAGGTGCCCTGAACATAAGCTTAATTCAGTGTTTCTCGAACTTTTCAATGACAGAGTGAACCTCTGTTCCTAGGATGTCTGACAGAATGTAGCACCAAACTATTTTAGGTTACTTGCCATTGATTAAAACAAATTTCAGGAAGATGTTCTATGCTGAACAGCTGTATCTCAAAGTCTTGTATGTCCCACATACACTAACCCCTTGTTCCACTCTTACAGCTTTAAAATTATTATCCCACTCATTTATCTGTGTTCTTATATCTGTTCCATTTCACAGTCAGTGAATCAATGTCAAACATTTCCACTGTGGGTGGTAACAGTCATTTAGCAAAACAAAGTTAAAAGTACCTTCCAGAGATAAAATCTGTAAAATTGGAGCACATATTTTTTAAATGAGTGTTTCTGTCCATGTATCCCATGGAACACTACTGCTGTGACTTTTCAATAAATATTATAGAAAAGAAAAAAAGATTCTTCGTTCAGATGAATTCTGGAAATGCTGGTTAAACAGAATTTTTTTACTCTAGATTTTTTGTATGCTACTGATAGGCAAATGGTCATTATGAATCTTAAAGGCAGAGGTACTTCCATACTGTGTTTAACCAGCAATTTTAGGGACCAGTTTTCCTTTTGAACACTAAATTGAAACTTTAGTCAGTAAATAACCAGGAACATTTCACGAGGACTGAGGATGGTTTTTTACACATCTTCTCAGCTTTGTTAGAATTTTCAAACTTCTCAGAGATAAAAACAGGAGTCTTGGGTTTTGTTTTGTTGTTGTTGTTGGAGTCTTGTTTTTTTACCAGCTAAAATTAAAAACCCAATCATTTCTAACCAGTATAAGAGATTATTTTTTTGTGTCATTGTTTTTAACTTTATCAGTGATTAACAGACCCTTCAACATTTTGGCCAAATTCCATAACATTTAATGCTTTTTATTGGTCTTGTTGGTATTATTTTCTCCCTTCTGCATTTTATTTTGAGGTAAAATTCACACTCATCTTTAAAACTTAAATTTACAAATCACGTCAAAGCTTGCTACTACTCTGTTCCGCCCTTTACCTTCCCAGATCAGGCTAGAGCTTTGGTCCTGGTAACTTTGAATAGAGAAGGGGACCATGGCCTGATTCTGAGATACGTCTTTCTCCTCCTCCTTCAGGTACTCTAACTCATCTCATATTGCTGCCAGTCTGCTAGTATTTAGGAGCTCCTGCACTTAGGCTCACTTTCAGTCCTTTAGGCTCCTAAAACTGTTTATAGTAATTCTTACCATTCCAGCCCAGTGGAGATGGCAGAGTGGGCCTGTGGGCTCTGAGCTCGGGAAGTGTCCAGCTGGGGCATGAGATAAAAGTCTCCCTTTCCAACAGGTTCTTATCTTTATAATGGATTCTCCTGGAGTCCCTCTTATTATATTTCATGAGAGAGAGTATACCTTTCCTCACAACTGCAATTTCATGTTTTCACAAAACCCATAATCATTCTTTTCCTCTACTGGGAGGATGGGGATTAGGTGAGAAGAGGCCAGCACCAGGGAATTGATGGTAAGACCTGTCCTAACCTGGCTTCTCTCAGTGAGCCCTTGAGGAGAGGTGGCTGGCTCCAAAGATTGGTAATTCTTTAGACTGTGGGGTGCCTAACACCTTTAGTCCTCTCCTTCAGACCCTACTTGAATTTCCAGGACAGCAGGGGGGGAAAAAAACCCACCTGACATACTATTAGAAATGTGTTAACTGAAGGGAGCCTGGGACCCCTCTGAGCCTCCACAGGGAGTTCTCCTAAAAAGATAAATGCTCCCTGTTGAGGAATCACAGCAGACAGTGTCCTAAATTATAATTTCCTGATATAAATCACCACAACTTCAAAGATCTCCTTCACTATTGCTTAACAATCCTTGAACTCCTCTTTTGTTAGCTCTTAATACCATTTTGCAAGGGGCCCTAACCTTGGTCTCTTGCCCTGACACTCAGAACATGACCCCTTCCTTTTACCTCAGTAAGAAACTATACTGTCAGTCACGCCTGCTTTCTTCTCCCCTTTCTCACAGGAGGAAAGGTTCAGTGTGTAGTGTTGTTCAGATTTGCTCTCGCCTGACTCGAGTTGGTCTCAGTTCACCAGTTATCCTTCTTTTTGTACCTTCAGTCATTTCCAAGCTTCTGACCTCATCCCCTTAGCTGACACTTCCCCATCCTAAACTACAGTTCCTTGATCCTGTATTTCCCTTCAAGTTATTCTCTCGTATATTTCTTCCATTTGTAACTAAACTATTCTTAAAACAATAGCCTAAAGACACTCACCTGAAATTTAAAGAGACAAATGATATTAAGGATAGAACAACTGAAACTTTACATTTCGCCAGTGTGAGTATAAATTAACATGAACATTTTTCAAAACTGTCTTGTCATCTACTAAAGTTAAATATATGCATACTCTATGACCCAGGATCTCCAAGATACCCAACAGAAAATGCATATCTATGTTCACCAAAAGATAGTACGTTAATGCTTAGAGTAGCACTGGTCATAGTCAAAAACTACAAACAATTCAAATGCCCACAATCAGTAGATTGGAGAAATAAATAATGTATATTTATACAACAGAATATTCTACAACAAAGAGAATGCTGCAACAATATGGATGGATTTCACAAACACAGTGTCAAGCCAAGGAAGTCATACCCGAAGGGCACATGACTGTGATCCAGTGATGTGATTTATTATAAAGTTCAAAAGCAGATACAATCTTTAATGTCACCTATAATGTTAAAAGTCCAGTTACTGAAGGCAGAGTAGATAGGATGGTGACCACAAAAGGGCACAAAGGGACTTCTTGGTTGCAGTTAATGTTCAACTTCTTGATTTGGGTACTGGTTTCATGGGTATTTGTGAACATTCCTCATCCTATACACTTATGGTCCATGTGCTTTCCTCTGTGTATTTATATTTCTGTAAAATGTTTATATTAACAGAAGAGACTATAATTAGCTGTATCCTCTTCAATTTATAGCAGCCTTCCACTGCTGCTTCTTGAACTCTGCAGCATTCAATACTGTTGTCACTCACTCATTGAAACCATCCACCATTTGATTTCCATACACATTTTTCTCTTTTCATCTTGCCTTTCCATTTGTTCTTCATTTAGTTTAAATTTTTAAGTTTAGGGGCGCCTGGGTGGCGCAGTCGGTTAAGCGTCCGACTTCAGCCAGGTCATGATCTCGCGGCCCGTGAGTTCGAGCCCCGCGTCAGGCTCTGGGCTGATGGCTCAGAGCCTGGGGCCTGTTTCCAATTCTGTGTCTCCCTCTCTCTCTGCCCCTCCCCCGTTCATGCTCTGTCTCTCTCTGTCCCAAAAATAAATAAACGTTGAAAAAAAAAAATTTAAAAAATAAATAAATTTTTTAAGTTTAAATATTTATGACTTTGAAATCTCTTTACAGAGAGAACTTTTTCCAGACCTTGAGGTTGTTTTTGACTACACCCTCTCACCTGCCACCCTTCTCGAATCCACCCCTCAACCCTGTAGAATTTACCATCTCACTCTCAGACCCTTCTCATCCTCACTTCCCCTGCTTGATTCAGCTCTCATTATTACTTTTCCTGTACAATTGCAAAATGATCCTAAGTGCCCCCATTTAATCTGTTCTCCCTCATTAATTAAAACATAAGACCCTATCATTCATCTATTTCGTGCTAACATATCCATTGAAGGTAAAGTCTCATTTTCTTAGGACAGCATACATACTCAATTCCTGATGTCTGCATCCTGCTCCCTTCACTTCTGCTACACCTCAGTCTGTTTTGCTTTTTTTCTCCTACTCTTCCTTCCTCCTTTCCTTTCTTTTTCTCCTCCTCTCTATATCTCCTCCCTTTCACATACACAAACACACAGAAACACAACAGGACTACAGCCATTCTAAACAGAGTTCTCATAACTCTCCTGACCATGTCTCTCCCTTACCTTAATTACTCCTTCCCTAATTTAGTCCTGTTCATCCCTTAAGATTCATCTTGAGGATCAGCTCCTCCCAGAGCCTTTCTTACATCCTTCCCCAAGACAAATGCCCCTCCTCTGCACTGCCTGAGCACCCTATGCATACCTCTTTATTGCATTCATTAGACAGCATTGTAACCATGCTTCTGTTTCTCTCCCCCTTACACTAATCTGTGAAGTCCCAAAAGGCAGAGACTACTCATTCATTCAGTCAACAGATATTTATTGTGTCTGCCTCCTAGAAGATAGGTGTTGATGCTAGGTATACAGAGAGAACAAATAAATACAGTCCCTTACTTTTATAGGTTGTTGGCGGCGGGGGGGGGGGAGACCTACTAAGTAAGTAATCTCACAAATACATATTTATAAATTGGGATAAGCATAATAAAAGAAAAGTAAAGCTAGGAAGAGAGATTTTAGTGGGAAACTGATTTAGGTTGGGAGATCACATTTGAGAAATGACATTGAAGGTAAAATCAAGAGGAATAAGTGGGAGTTAAGCCAAGAAGGGGGAAGAAAATTCCTGCCAGAGGCACATACAGGCTCTTTGGTAGAAAAACGTTATCCATTGAAGGAATCAAATGGAGGCTGTGACCACAACATGGGGGTAGGTTAGAGAGACAAGCCGGGGCTGAATTATACAGGCCTTGTCAGGCAGGGATGAGCACCTGGATTTTAGTCAAAGTGCATTGGAAAGCCATTAAGAGGCTTTAAGCTGGACATGAACATCGTTAGGTATATGGTGTGTGTATGTGTGTGTTTTAATTCACTCTTACTGAAAACAGATTCTCCTGGGGAATAAGAGTTGTGTAGGGGACATCAACTAGGAGTCTTAACATAATCCAGGCAAAAGATGATGGTGATGGAGACAAGAACAGTGATAGAACTGAATGAATCACATGTATTTAGGGTTTTTACTCTGTCTCTTCCCTGTGCCTGAGATGCTCTTCCCCCCAATCTCACAAGCCCTCTGTTATCATTCAGAGCTCACATCCATGTCTCCTCTTCATGTATTACTGTGCGCCTGGCATTCAATACGGGACATGGCATATAGTGAGTGTTCAGTAAATACTGAATGTGTGAATGTACAATATAAATGCATTATAAGCCTATAATTTGGAGGAGCTAAGATTTGGTAATTTGAATTTTATCCCCAGAATCTTACACAGTATCTAACAAATGATGCTCAAATTACTTGTTAAAGTATTAACTCATCTTTCTCCTTTTCTCTCTTGCTACTTCCATTTCCTTAGTTCAGATCTTCATCATCATGTGCTCAAACTAATGCAGCAGCCTCCTGGATATTCCCCTTGCTTTCAGTCTCTTCCTGTTTCTTTTTTTTTTTTTTTTTTTTTAATGTTTATTTATTTTTGAGGGGGAGAGAGCGTGAACAGGGGAGGAGCAGAGAAAGAGGGAGACATAGAATCCAAGGCAGGTTCCAGGCTCTGAGCAGTCAGAACAGAGCCCAACGCAGGGCTAAAATTCACGAACCATGAGATCATGACCTGATCTAGAGTCGGATGCTTAACCGACTGAGCCACCCAGGTGCTCCAGTCTTCCTATTCCTAATCCAGGCTCCATGTTATTGCTATCACTTTAATAAAACCCCAGTCTCATCCCAACTAAAGTCTCTCTTGTTTAAAAAACAACCAAAAAACCCAACATGCAGTACTTTCCCTGCTGCCTACAGGTAGAAGTCCAAATTCTGAGGCATGTCATTGAATCTGATTCCAAACTTTATTTTCAGACTTCATCTTTTTTCCCTTGTGCACCATACTCTGCTCACACAGGTCTATTAGCCATTCCCCCTGTGCTTTTGGTAAGGCTGTTGACTCTTTCTGGCGTCTTCTCACACTGGCTGCCCAAAAATGACAAAATCTCCCTCTCTCCCCTTCCCCTTGGTGAAGAACCATGGCTTAGCCATATAATTACTTCCTTTGGTATTCTCATACAGGACTAAGTGCCAGTAGTACTATAGCTTTTGTTAGTTTTTTTTTAATTATAAATGCCATTAACTCCTCTACTGAATTATGTTTTCCAAAAGAAAGGAAACCTTTGACTTTGTTTTTCTTTGAATCTGCAGTATCTAACATAGTAACTATTACAGAGGAACTCAACTAAATGTTCTGGGTTTTTTTATTATAGTAAAATTATACAACATACAACTTACCATTTTAACTACTTCTAAGTGTACAGTCTGTCACATTAAGTACCTTCACATTGTGTGCAGCCATAAGACCATCTATCTCCAGAACTTTTTCATCTTCCTTGACACTCTATACCCATCAAACACTTAACTCCCCATTCCCCTTCCCCACCACACCCCTGGCCACTGGCAGCCACCACTGTACTTTCTGTCTCTCTGAATTTGACTTCTCCAGTTACCTCATATAAATGGATCATACAGTATTTGTCCTTTTGTGACTGGTTTATTTCATTTAGCATGTGTCATCAAGGTTCATCCATGTGTTAGACTTTTTTTATTTTTTATTTTTTTTTTAACGTTTATTTATTTTTTTGAGACAGAGAGAGACAGAGCATGAACAGGGGAGGAGCAGAGAGAGAGGGAGACACAGAATCCGAAACAGGCTCCAGGCTCTGTGCTGTCAGCACAGAGCCTGACGCGGGGCTCGAACTCATGGACCGTGAGATCATGACCTGAGCCGAAGTCGGACACTTAACCGACCAAGCCACCCAGGGGCCCCTAGACTTTTCTTTATAAGCCTGAATAATAGTCCATTGTATATATATACCACCTTCTATCCATTCTCCCATCATTGGATACTTGAGTTGCTTCTGCCTGTAGGCTATTGTGGATACTACTACTTTGAACAAGGGTGTGCAGGTATCTGTTTGAGTCTCTGCTTTCATTTCGTTTGGCTATGTACCCAGAATCAAGTAAAGTATGTTTTATTTTACTAATGTGCAAAGCTGGTTTTTTAATATAACTTGGTCTGTGATGAGCATTTATTTACATGTTTAAAAACCAACAGAACATGCCACTGCCTTCTCTACAGGGTACCAGCCGTCCTTCACACTATCATGTTTTATGGGACGATAACTGCTTTACTGCAGATGAACTTCAGCTGCTGACTTACCAGCTCTGCCACACTTACGTGCGCTGTACACGATCTGTTTCTATACCTGCACCAGCGTATTATGCTCACCTGGTAGCGTTCAGAGCCAGATACCATCTCGTGGACAAAGAACATGACAGGTAGTATAAAAGCACAACAAATACAGATTCTCACCCAAAACCAAGTATGGGTCAGCATGTTAGGCTTTTCTTGCAAAATTTCTTTTAAGTGTTTCCATGTATGTGCCTCTCTGCCACAAGCTGTTAGAGGACTCAGTGGTCCATATGAAAAGGAACAATAGGCAGAACTGACTACCCAAGATAAGGGCTCCATTAAAATGTGCACTTTAGGCTTATTAGTATTAGAATGGTATAGTGATTTAGTTGCTTTACCAGATTAATTCAAGGGAGAGATCATTGCTAATAGACAAAATGATGGGATGTCTGAGATTTGCTTCTAAACAATCCTGGGGAGGTGAGAGAAGTAAAACAAAATTGGCCTTGGGTTAATAATCATTGAAGCTGGGTGATAGAAATGTTCATAATGCCAGCCTCTCTTTTTTTAATATAAATAGTTTTGAAATTTTCTATGAGTAATATTTTCTAAAATTACTACATCAGAATAGGGTTTGTTTTTGTGTTCATTGCCACTTCTCTTACAGTGCTGAAGGAAGTCATGTTTCAGGACAGAGCAATGGACGAGATCCACAAGCTCTTGCCAAGGCTGTACAGATTCACCAAGATACCTTACGCACAATGTACTTTGCTTAAAAAGTCCAAGAATATTCTCTGAGAGGAAGAATTGAAAGATGCATCGACATAGAGCGTATGTTTCCAGTGGAGTCAGTTGAGTGGGAATGCCTCCAGCCATACAGCAACCAACACTGTGTGGGGACCAGGGTCTGATTTTTATGTTAATATAAGGAAGATTGTTTACTTCATCAAGGAACACAGCACCATTATGCAATATGAAACCAGCCAACTGCTTTTTTGTGCGGTCTCCTTAGGAAGTATCGCCATTGTTTTGTTTTCACTTTCTTGTAGTCTAACCCTTTTAATGCCTTTACCTCAAGTTGCTTGGCAGCACAACTATCTTTGCAAAAAAAGTACAGAAAAAGTAAATGACGGTTTAAAAAAAAAAACACACACACCTTACATGAATAATCAAAGTGATTGTTCACAATTATGTGTGCAAAAAAATTAATGTGCATTCGTGTATTCTTGTGAAAGGTATCTGTGTATATTTTAAATATATACATGTATACTTCATATGCATATATATCTGGATCTACACTGACAGTAGATATATATGTGTCTGTGTGTGTATTTTATAGTTCATTCCATCGGGAAACTTTTTTCCCTTTTATCATCCTCCCACCACCACTTTGATTTCTCTCTACCTCCCTCGCCTTCATCACCTACATTTTTTTTTCCTGATGCTACCAGTGACATTCAGATGTTCATGTATCTGGTTCATTTGGATATGAAGCATGGCAAACTAGAGTTTTATTTTTATTTTGCACACCCTACTCCTGTCTCTTGTCTCATACACAATTCTAAGTCCTCAACTCTTGATATTGCTTTCTTAAACAAAATTATTATATATATACACACACATGTATATGTATGTATATATATATATGTGTGTGTGTGTGCGTGTGTGTGTATATACGTATATATATATGAAGTTTCTATGAGAGTGTCTGCCCACTCCTGCTCTGAACTTAACATTTGCCATTTGTGCAATGTGTATATAAGCAGTAGCAATCTTAAACTATTATTTTTCTTTAGTTTGTTAAAGCTGCTATAAATATAAAACTTTGTCAGAAGTTGTAACTCAGAAATTTCTCTATAACTGATATGTATTCTAAAGCCTTCTGTTGCTATGGGTTATACATGAAAATCCCTTACAGCTTTCATAAAGGGCAAATATTTTAAATGATTGAAACTCTTTAGGGTTGAGGCCTCTGAAATTGGGTGGAGAGAGAGAAGGGGTTGCTGAGGGTTTTTTTTTTATTTTAATTTTTTTTTTTTTTGCTAGTTTACTTGTTGCCTCTCATACCTTAATGTGATTTTCATATATATATATATATATACACACACAAACATATATATATGCTTATATATATATGTATGTATATATATATATATACATATATGTATGTTTTGAAGTACAGCTTCCTTTTATATTTATTAGGATAGTGCTTTAATAATTAGAGAACTGTATTGGCAACATCTTTTATAGAAATGTAATCATGTTTATTTTAAGAACTGACAACTTGTTTTGCTGTCTTTTAGTGCAATAAGCAGTTTTAAAGGAAAGGTGTGTCTGTTTGATTTCTTTACCACAGATAGTGGGAGAAACAGGCACCTCCATAATTTTAAAAGGGCAAAGTAATACAGCCTTAATTTCAGAAGGAAAGTTTTGTAATTTTTCAAGTTTAAAGAATGTCTTAAAAATCCTAATGAAAATGAAGGAAGTTAAATTTCCTAAATGAGTCTGATCTTAAATATTAGAGATAGAGTTGAACTTTGATGTAAGAAATGACAGTGAATAGGGGCTTAGTTGGTGGAGCATGTAACTTTTGATCTCAGGATCATGAGTTCAAGTGCCACTTCAGGTGTGGAGCCTACTTTTTAAAAAATGACAGTGAATAACTTAAGATTTAGAAGACATTTAATATTTTGAAAATAGATCATGTTTATTGAACAATCATACTGGTTAGGGCCCATTTTCATTTACTAAAATTAATTAGGAAAATGTAAAATGATATTTTTAAAACATTTTTTGCCAATTTATCACCAGTGTAACTTTCCTTTTAAAATTAGGGTTATGGTGGCAAAGGAGGTTAGGACTGATCATTTTAAATGAGTTAAATCACTGAAATATGGAAAAGGTTTTACAAAACTTCTGTTTTATTGATTTTGTTTTAAGGTATTGAAAATATTATAGAGCTGTCAAAATCAAGTTCATCAGTAACATTGGATTCAGGGGAGCTTAGCACTTTGTAACTCATGAAAATTGCATTTTAATTTTTTTTTTTTTTTTGCACTGGTTCAGAGTGTAGATACTACAGATTGTTTCCAGTGGGCATTTTAAACCTTTCAGAATTCCATCTGCACATGATATCAAATGGATTAGCTCTTTAGTTTCTCTCTTACCTGTAATCCACTCTTATTGCCAATTTACTGTATTTTGAGCCTATAATCTGAGCCCGTGTCCTCCAACAGGTATGAAATATTTTGTTCCTCTGCCAGAAAACTAAGAAAGTACTGTATTTTGTATGTTTATTATTACTGAAGTGTCTGAAATGCAATTTACAACACTGTTTCAAAGCTCTTTACATGAAGTAATATTTGTATAGTATATACATTTTTTTTCTCCCAACCCTGCCCCTCTCCTCCAAAAATTTCCTATAAAGCATGTATTTTTTTTTTTTTACATTAAAATTTCACTGAATATAGTCAGGAACATGAACAAGAGAAGAAAATAGTTTATCCTTGATTGTTATATGCTTGCTCAGTATGAGTAAAACACCTTCCTTTACCAATGGGAGCTACACAGACATGTGGGAAACTATAGGGCCCAGGGAAGAACTATAAGATACCATTTGCCTATTTAGTGCTTCACTTCATTTTCAGTTGCTTAGTTTTCCATGTGGTAGAATGAAACCCGTAATTTAAATCTATTTGGAAGGACTTTTACTGAGGAAAAACAAAAAACAAAAACGTTTTTTAATATAAAGCTTTACCTTTGAAGTGAGTTCTTTTTTAGGGTTTCTTTCTTACAGTTTCAACATTGCTAGTTTAAGGTTGGTTAACTTGAAAGAATATGTATAGTATATTTCTATTTTGCTTACTAACAAATTGGTATATCAAACTTAATTAAAAGGAACCTTGTGCTTAGAATTTTAAGATAAAAGACTAAGTGGCAAATACTTTTTGAAATTTGTTTTAATTATTATTGCACTCTGGTGTAGAATTCCTGATCTTTTTTTATTTAAAAAAAAAAAAAAGATTGTTTTGAATTTAAAGGTCATGAAACTCAACAGTGACCTTTCTGTTCCTGCCTTTGCTCACTAAACTGTATAATGAATGCTAAATTTTGGTCTGCTGTTTTCTATGATGCATAAGATTTACTTTAAAATGTCAGTCCCAGCCACTGGTATAATTGATTTTCATATGAAGAAGAGTTGGGAGTTTAATGTATATTCTGGATGGCAAATGTGTCTGGGTAAAGTGCTGATACATGTTATGACAGTATCAGGTTACTGGCATTGAGGACCATACATTTATAATACTATAGCTGCTATATTTATTTAATTAAGTAGAGTCTGACATTTACTGCACTAAACAGTAAGGAGATGAGCAGGATTGGAGGCTAGTGTTAAGACACACACCCTTTTTTCCTAAATAAGATTAAGAACATGAAATAATAAGGTAACAAAGGGTGCTGCCATTTTAGTTTCAATTTAATATCAGGATACGCTTTGTTTTAGAAATGCAGATTTTAACTTTAGCTGTTTTGCAAAAGGGTACCTCAACCTCCTCAGTATTGGTTTTTGGCATATTTTCACAGAAGTACAGCTGCCCTTTATTTTTTCTTAATATTTTACCTTTTAACAAGTTTCTCAGAAAAAAAAAAAAGTTCTTATATGGAAATCTACCTGTTTGTAATCCATTAATTTATTTCTCTTTCTAGAAGAGTCTAGAAGGGATTCTAGTAGGAATGTACCGGGTGTTTTGGAAGGCACTAGATAAAGATTCATCTCTACTGTCTAGAATAGGGACTCCTAGCCTTCTAAAGACCTATACTAGTTTTCCAAACTAGGTTCTTTGATGACCCACCACTGCCTAATGTTTACTTGTATATTCTGTAATGGATTTTAGGTTGACAGACTGCATGACAGGCTTAGTCCTGACAGACTTAAAGGAAATAAAATCTGAGTTGCCATTCAGTAGAAATGGCTGGCAGAGGATCTCAGTGTTTAAGGAAGAGGTGAACAAGCAGAGTGGCAGTAATAGATCTGAAGCAACTAGATGGATTATATAGGCCAGGAATTAGAAACTGTTGGTAAAGGAAGTTGATGAGTGTTTTCAGAGGCTAACATATATTTGCCAAGGGTGGTGATTTTTATGAAATCCACGAATCTAGCCATTTGGATTCAGCTTAGAATATTTTGTAGTCCTGCTTTTTCAAACTTGATAGAAATATTTTGCCAAAAAGCTTAACTGAAAACTCTGTATAATTTTTATTCAGGATCGTTAAACCTGAGTTAAATATTTGGTTAAATCTCTCTTAGATGTTCTCCTATTGAGTATTTTTAAAAGACAGGTTATTCCTATCAGTAACTTCCTACTTAAATTACCTTTTAGGAGTTATCAGTCAAGCTGCAAAAAGACATCATTGGCTTGGCATCTTTATTTTGCCTTTTTTATCCATACAGAGTTTTAATCCTTTGCATTCTTTTTGAGAATTCTCAGATGTCTTAAAGCTTCAATAATAATAGTTGGGAGGCTTTATAGATATAGATATAGATAGATCAAGTGAGGCTTCCCTGAGTGGTGGTATAACCCTGACTCTAAAGTCTGTCTTTATTTTCCTATTCCCCTCCCATTTGATCATATAAAGCACTTTCGTGATTCTATAGGAGTCAAAAATAAGCCAAGAATTGATGTGTAAAATTAGTACAGAAATGTGAAAGTAAGGGTTTTCTCCAGAAAATCTTTTTTAAAAAATTCCTGCTTATACTAAGAACATTCTTGATCAATGACTGTTAGAAATACCATGATTAGTAAAATGTAAGCTGACTCTCAGGAGGAAAAAAAATCTCTCTCTCTCCCCCTCTTCCTCCCCACCATATATATCTCAAAGGGAAAAAAATATTTTTTGACTTTTTCCTGCTTTTAAAAATGGTACATTTCAGTTTATAATTTTCCCTGTCGGTCAAAATATTTTTTTTTTTTTTAACTAACATAATGGTCAAAGCTTGTGCTAGTATTACCTACTGCTATTGAATTTTATTTTTCTTTACCCAGCAAAGATAGTACTCTAGATTTTTACATTGTACATTAAACCTCAAGAATCTAATGCTCTTAAAGTATGGAGAAGCTAAAGATTTTAATTTGGATTGAAGATAGAAAAATAATAACTTTAATATGGAAGGTTGAGATTTACCAATAGCAAACCCTGTTGAAGTATCAGGTAACAAAGAGTGTGACAAAATTAAGATCCTATTAATTAATCTGTCCACCCATTGGTCTCCCTT